GCAGCCCTGCAAATTTACTGACGGGGGTCACGACCCTCCCACTTGCGCTTCCATAGATCCACGTGAAGGAGGAGGCAAGGCGAGATTTATGCTGCCACATTTACACCGGCAAGTACTTGTAGAGTATGCAGAAAATACGAGATGCGAATAAGGTGTTTCAATGTAAAAAAATCAAATATATATGATGGTAAAAGTGGAGATGAGAATGGGCTTGGACCCATCACAGCGTGAAGCTTGCGTGGTCAACAGCAGCCACAGCAGGTATCGAGCTGCTGTTTTCAGGGACTGACAGAAGAGAACTGACTTACTTCTGCCATGCATTCACTTGCAATAGCTTCAGTCCTTTCACTTCTCATCCCAAACAAAAAGAACTTGTCCTCCTCAGGTCTTTGTAATAAACCCTTCATTTATCCCTCCGCAAACTTCAGTTCCCTTCTTCCCCTTAATGTGCTTCAGAGATTTTAGTATCCTAGTTTTATTAGGTCGACAGGCAGCTAGCCTTGTTTCATTTCAGAACCTGCAGGCATTTACCCTCCTGCCTTTTCTGAAGAACCAAATAACTCATGACAATTTCTCAATTCCTGGACTATTCAGCCTGCAGCACACCTCAGTGCTGCTGCAGCTCTCCTCCAAGTCACCTCACCAACTCTCCTTTGCCTTCACTTTGAGAAGATAATTTTCCAGAAACAGGAAATCTACCTTTGTCACACACACTACTATTCATATATATTCAACATATTCCAGGTAACTGCAAAGACCCCAGTGACCCACGTGAATTGTCCTTACAGCACAGGGAAAGCAGAACTTCCAGGAAAACTGTAGGAGAACCACCTCGTACACAGAAAAACATCAGAAACTCCTGCTTCTGTGAAATGCTGTGACAATACCTCTATTAGAGTCATTGCAGAGAAGCTGATGCACACTAGAATACAGACTCAAACTAATACAGACTTTTACAGTAATTTTGTACATGCTGTAAACACTTCCAGAACATGCTGGGAATAGATGTGCTGGAAGATACCTGGCAGCAGTGGGCAAAACATTAGAATGCTGTATCACCCCAAACAGCTACCATTTGAAAGACATTCAGTAGGCAAATCTTTGAATTGGAACAGCACAAAATACTCGCCCAACTTTGCAGCTGGAGGATTAACTGAACCTATCTGACTGCCAGAGAAAAAAGTAGAGTCTTAGAGCATACCTTAAAATGATCAAGACTCGGGGAAATGTAAATTTCTTGTATTGCCTTACTAAATACACTTACAGGGCTTGGTTTTGGATATGCTTCTACACAAAGGATGCTGAACTGAGGATATTCAGCACTGAATAACCGCAATGCCAGCACCACAAACAGGAGTGCAGAAGGGTCAGTAATTTGCTGGCCTGAATGGGTCCACAATGAACCTCTGAAAAGGTGATGCCTCCCAAGGGCAAGGCTGTCTGCAGAAAATACAAGGCCGGGTTGGATGAGGCTGGAAGCAAGCTGCTCTAGTGGAAGGTGCCCCTGCCCGTGGCAGGGGTTGGAACTGGATGAGCTTTAAGGTCCCTTCCAACACAAACCACTCTGAGAGCCTATGATTCAGTTTTCTGGGTGTTTTACAGTAACCAAGTAGTGGCATTTATCTCCCTTAGGGAGAGGGGCTGACCTCGCAGCTCAGCTACACAGACCCAGGAGGATGTGTCAGGATCAGGCCCTGGTGATTATGACAACAGCAGTGCTGAACCTTTATAATTAACACTCACCAGCACTTCATTTCCATGCAGTTATTTTCAGCGGCTGGGGACTTTAGGCTGTCCCAGGGAGAAGGAGGATCAGGCATCACACAAGATCTTTCAGCCTAAGCCACAACAGGTGCCAGTGGCTGGGACCTGGCAGAGCCCCCGATGCCTCAATGTGTGGCACATGCCAGGGTGTGGGGCATTTGGTGTAACCAGACTGGTTGTTCCAGCTCCTCTTGTGCTCCCTGTACTTTGAGTCACACATGGGCCTAGGACTGAAACAGAACCTTATCACTGGCCCTTTGCAGGCTGAGGACAGCTTTAAAATGCTTTCAGTGGAGGAGCCGTAAGTATTTCTCTGAATATCATCATGCTGAGCTACAAATTATGCTCAAACTATAATTCAGATCTACTACAAGCCAACTGTATTTGCTATGCTTGTTATGCTACAGACGCCCTATTTCTTTCTTGCCAGTTTATCCCCTGGACAATGCCCTTGTTAATGCACACATGGCCTGAAGCCTCTACCTGTTTTATTGATTCCCCCCGGATTCTTCAACAACAGTAAAGCAGATTTTCCTAGCAAGGAAATCAATATGCCTTTAGATTAAGGTTCACATATAATGTTTAATAAGTTATATATTAATGATTTATTGTCTATTAATTCTCAGTTCATAAGCACAACATTTCTGGCATCTGATTTAGCACACTGCACTTCAGTGTGTGGACTCCACACTTGAAACAGCTCTCAGATTCTCTCTTTCAATGGCTTAATTGAGTAATCCTTTAGAAATAGACTTTATTCTCTGTGTTTGGTATAAGCACAGTCTACGTTTCCACAACACGGGTATTGCTGGTAGCATCTTAGTGTCCAAGCATTCAGCACATTGCAGTCTCAAGAGGGAATTCAAAGGTCAGCAAGAAAAGCAGAAATAAATTCAGTAATATATAAAAAGATGACAGGTCAATGGTTTTAACCCTTAAAATTCCTATCAACTGCACCTCTGAATAGCCCTCTGCCAGCTATGGAAAAACAGCACAACTGAGAAGCACCATTTTTAAACTAGTTTGTGAAGTGATCTGGGATTGAATCTCACACATCTCACACACCATCAAACCATTAGGTCCTATCCAGAATAATTCCCACTAGAGGTGGCCTGTAACTGCCCTTCCAAATGACACTTTAGAAAAGGATCTATCTCCTAGAAGACCAGACTTCATTGTGAAAACAGAGTGCTACACCCTCACTATGGAATCATGCATGACTGTTTCATTGTTAAGATGCTGTCAAAGAAACACTGCCTGCACCATCGCTTCTGTGTAGTAAACAGCATGAGACAACCATTTCTTACATCTCTTGGATCTTCTCACATACCAGTTTATAAACTGTACCAAGCACAGAAGACTACAAAAAAAGCTCAGGATGACTTTAACCATGTAAATTACAAGTGGAAGTTTCAAGATCAACTTTAATTATGTTTAATTAATGTCGCAAAGTAGCCGAGTATAGTTCTGGTTAATGAACAGGAACATCTTTCCTGTTGCTTTTCAAAGCAACAGGAAAGATGTACTATCCCAATGCTTTTTACACTCGCATCTGATACATACATGTATCAGATTTAGGAAGAATGGGTAAACAAATCTGATTCATCTTCAAATCACTGCTCGCATGCTCAACACAACCGCATTAACTGATGCTGGTAAAGCATTCACAGGCAAAAAGGGCCATGTCAGGACCAAGAGTCACTTGAACTCTTACTACCTGTTGTGCAGCTTATTCTGTGTGCATCACCTGTGGTTAGTGATGCTATTTTGTTAGAAGTGGATCACTTTGAAACTCACAGATACAAATGGAGGAATCTTAATCTACTGGCAATAAAGCATCCTCTGCATTCAGCCCTGCAGCCTGCGAGGCAGTTGGTAAGTTAGAAGAAACTTACAGCACCCTTCACCAGTACTGGGTGCAGGAGATAACTCTGCTGCAGCATGACTGAGAGAGGTGTGCTCAGACAGGAGCCTTCTCAGTAATACCATTGCACTACTGGTGCATAAAAACCAAACAGGCACAGTATTTCAAGAACAACCTATAAACACTGCTGATAACACCGGCAACCACAGTGCAGCACAGCAGGATTTTGTCCTTAACATATAAAGATGAAGCTCTATACTCAGAATCAGTGACTTGGATTTCATTTCAGTTATGCCTTAAGTTTGTTGGTTAAATTACTACAATGGATAAAGGATTCCTAGAAGGAAGTTATAGCTGCAGAGGCAGTGCTGTAACATCAAACTCCTGTTGTTCAGCAGGACTAGTTGTCTCGTAAAGGATGAGAACTGCACTGCAGCCATAGGAGGGTTAATCAGCCTTTCACACCAGGGCACCTACTTCCCACTGCTTGTTTTACAAAGTAAAAGCTTTGGTTCAGAAGATACATACCTACCTTCAAGGACACCAAAAAGATGTTACAGTATCCCTAGAATTCAAGTGGGGAAACCATGAGATTAAATCTGTTTTCAACCTGGACATCATTCTGACCCCGTGTTACCTAGGGCTAAGCCTCAGCAGTACAGTCAAGGTAAGCTCAACCCATGATAAAGGTTTACTTCATTCTCTCTGGCTTCATACAAATCTTCCAGTCACCCTTCCACACCAAAGGCTACTGTCACAAAGGTTTGCACAAATGCCTGCTGGTATTTTTAGAGTGTGGAGTTCTATCATAGACAGCTAGGAAATGTTTCTCTTTTTCCCCCTACAGAGTAGAAATATAAACCAGCACTTACTCTGCTGGCAGTAAAGGACTGTGATGCTCACTGTGAGTTACAAACATATGCCAGAAGTCACAAACATACAACAGAAATGTGGTCCCCTGTGCTGGAGCCCAAAGAGATCTCGAATAAGAGATCTGAATGCCTCTGAAGGAAGAAGCTCCTGCATGCACTGTGAAACCTCCAGGTCTCACCTTAGATGGTCCGCACATGGTCTCCTTTCCACACACAGGACCATGCACAGGTGACATGGACTCTGCACCTATGGCCCAAATTCCCTTTACGCATGCCCACTGAGAAGGAACGCAGCGTGCCAGCTGTGATCCCTTAACTGCTCCAGCAGGTTCCCAACAGTGATCCTTAGTTACCTGTCACATGTTCCTGTTAAAGGTATTCTTAGCCAAGTCTAATGTCAAGATTAAGATTAGTCTGTTAAGTCGCTTTTCCATAGGAAAAAAATACTTGATAAATAAGAGCTGGTAGGGTCCACAAGAGAAGCATTAGGAAAGTCTTACCTCTACGACTGCTTTGGCGTCCAGTCTGAAGTTGAAATCTCCAAAGACAAAATACGAAACTTTCTCAAACCGCTGATCTATAATTCTGGAAAAAAAAACGAAACAGTTGTGTCATTCAGCTGCACATGGATGTGAGGGTGCGCACAGACACACGCGTTGTCTCTAAGCACAGCTCAGAAATAGCTACTGGAAAGATCAAACCTACCGTTAGTACTGGAACAATACACTAACCCTGTTTCTGGGCTGATTCTCTTTGCTTAGGCTATTCTATCTAAAACCTCAGTAAAATAACACATTTCATTTCCCGTCTGGCTGAAAGAGCAATGTGGAGGAAAGCAACTTTGCAGCAGTTAGCACAAATGATGCAGAGGCAGCACCTGGGCATCACAGAGATCTTGAGGGCATCACAGAGGTACTCCACAGCTTTGGGAGTTTAAGTTATGTGGCTTTAGGCTGTGCAGCTAAAAATTAGAAACCCCCAAGTAGTGGTGAGTTCAGATTATGTCAATGTTTGAGTTTACTTCCCAGTAAGATTGTGATCATAATATTTGCCAGTGTTTGCTAGTACTCCAAGGCCTGCATGACAAATGACATGTTGGGGCTGTACATCAATGGTCACAGCTGGTGGAGGCTCATCTATGAGGTTTCCCCTGGCTCAGTTGCAGTTCTCTGACAGTTCTCTGTTTTGTTCAAAGCAGATCCTACTGGGACTGTAGCTACACCTAAAAGGTGATCTTTTCAGATGTGAAGATTGACTTTTTTCCTCAAGCCTTTGCTCAGTACCAAGCAGGGAGCTAAGGCATTACTGTTCATCTTGCAAATCTTGTATTAACGGTTCAATAGTAACAACTGTTATTGTATTAGTACTTATCTATGATTAACAACAATTGTCTGGTACTCCTAACCATGTGCAATTTTACACACTTCCAGAAATCTTGGCTTTTGGAAATCCACCGATTCACACTTCATTTCACCACAGGAATCAACAGCATTCATTTCATACCAGGAAGGTATGAAAGACCTGAAATGGGACAGCTACAGAGCATATACACAGACAAAACACCCACAAAACTGCAAGGTACACTAGGTGTACAATACAGAAGAGATAAGGAACAAATGCACTGTGTGCACTCTGGAGTATATAAATATGGAAGCGTTATGACATAAGGAGCCCCCGCAGACCCAGAGGCAGGGATCTGTATAGATAGGTGCAAGATTATAAAGTCACACACAATAAGTAGGCTTCTGGCACAACACTGACCAGCAAGGAGGCAAATAGCTTCAAAAGTTTTAACACATTACATCCATTTAGACTTTTCCAAGCTGTAAAGAAAGATACAACATTGGACTTACAGTGAAATACTGCTGCTCCTCTTAAAATACTCTCCCATTCTTAGTCAACAGTCATCAATTGCTTTGGAATATTAATCTATCAAAAAATTAAGTGGACCTAAGGCAGTGATCATCTGAAGCAATATCTCTGCAAAGACTTATCCTTTGCTGGTGTGAAGATCTCCAAATCCTCCATTCAGTTGACAAATTATTGCAGGTACTGTTAATAAATACTGCCTACTGTCAGCTCCCAGCAAGCCCCGAGAACAACCTGCCACTCTTGACCTGTACATAACATTAGTTTGATTAGTGCTCTCATGGCACTTTAAAGGAAAATGAGAACTTAAAAGTTAAACCATTTACATTACCTCAATTTGCTAACACTATCATTGCAAAATCTGAGATGCAACTTCCACATAAGAAAAAACGATTTTGCTTTGCCAACTTTCCTGATTCATTTCTTACTTCTGGCTTTGCTCATTGCCATTTACTGCTGACAAAGAAATGACAGATATTGCAGGAATGACATCAAGGTCTAGAGAAGGCCTCTTAAAACAAATTGGTATTATGAGAATGATGCCTGTGATTGTATTATGCAAAGATGGATTTTCCAAATAAACAGACTATTCCAAAAATAGCCAGGTAAAATGTCTCCTAACTGATGATCCAACCAGCTCATTAGTCTGCTGCTGATCAATTCATTAAAATTCAGTCATTTCATAGTCTTGCACATTACCCCATTTAAACGTGATTTGCGTACAGATCAATGCCAGCTTTCAAACCGATAATTTTAACCAGCTGCTCCCCTTGTAGTTTGTCATGTTGGACATTTTAGGAAGAGTTTCTCATGACAGACTGAAGTACAATAGTCCAAACTTAGCTTCTCAAGAAAGATGCTTTAAGTGGCTTCTGACTATCTCCTTTTCATGGGTGCTGAAGTTTAGGTGTATGCTGAAATTATCAATGGTACAGCAGGAATGTACGAATTATGTACTTATTAAATGATCTGGGATACCTAAAAATAAAATATGCTTTAAATGACTCAATACATGTATGTAACACACTGTACTTTCCATTGGAACTTACCATCAGTTCAAGAGTTCCCAAACCTTAGAATTATTTCAGCAGTGGTGCTCTGATAGCTCTGTTCTGAAACACTCACCAGTGCCTACAACTGCACTGAATCAATGGCACAAGAACCAATCTTATGGATTGTGCTTTTAGAATCAAACCCCAAGTCAGCACAGGGGATGGCAATACAGAAGAGTACAGCAATATTCCCTGCCCCAGGAGCATGTGGGAAAACAGCCGGTGCTGGAACCGAGCCCTGCAGAGCATCGTCAGTACTGGCACATGCAGTGAGGGTGCTGGGAGAGGAGCAAGAGCTAAACCCAAGTGTTCCTTTCATTCCCTTAGTCTCCACCTTCTAAGTCGCAAACACATTCAGTTCATCACATGTACAAGTACGTAAGAAAGTGGAAGACAATTTCTTCCCACGAGTGCTTGCAAATCACCTGGGAAGGCTCCAAACTCTGCTGCCCTACTTTGCTATTTGTTTCTATAACAATACCCTTCCTCTAACCATGAATCAAATAAGCCTTTAAAAAATGTTGCCATGAATCAGTCAATGGAGTGATAAATCTGAATCACATAGAAAGCAAGCAGCCATCTATGTCACCAGCATTAATCTCACGGTTTTAGTGGCAGAACCCAGTGCCATTTCCTTTCCCCTGCACTTGCTGACTACCAGATGACCCTGAAGAGCTCCAGCACAATTCTAGCCTCTGCTCTTTCCTCTACAACTTTTCTAAATGGCTTGTGACAAAAAGGTGACTTGGACAAAAGTTTCATGCCTGTGGAGATGCTACAAAACACTTCCGCAACCCCATACACCAGAGCAAACAAGAGATCAACAGTGCCGTGACTAGTGCTGCCAGCTGTGAGCTCTGCAGGGCCATCGAGAGGTGACAGGCAAGCAGGATGGGTTCAATGCAGTGCAAATAAAACAGTAAACTTTTCAAACAGATGACAGCCCTTCCTTCCCAGAAAAAGAAGTATTCCCTTGGAAAAAGCTGGAAGAACACCTTCACTCTTCTGATCCTTTGTTCTTGCTCCAGAAGGTATCGCTTATGAGAAAAGAGTTTATTTGCACTTAGAACATACCAAAGAAGTATCTCTTACTTCTGTGCCTTTTGGAAATCAAAGTAACAAGTTCATTATGGCAAATAAGGACCACTGGAAGAAAAGCACACTTAGAGTGGCTTTGTTGGTGACCTTGCTAAACTTTAAAGCCCACAAATATAAATGCTATAGATGATTTCTCTTCTTCTAGTTCCCCAGACACAGAGCTTTTAATTGCAGAAGGCATCCTTGACAATAGTATCAGACTCTTCATACTTGGAGAACATTACATGTACTCTAGGTTCCCCTGCTTTTGCAGGGGGGTTGGACTAGATGATCTTTTGAGGTCCCTTCCAACCCTTAGGATTCTGTGATTACATGTGCTATTTTGCCAGTTTCAAACTAATTCTACATCTTTAACTGCTGGCTCTGCACTGAAAGACTTCTGGATGAGTTGGGTTATTCTCTGCTTGTTTCCAAGTTCTGTTGTATTTTGAGAAGAGGCAGACCCCACACAGTTCTGGAAATAGAATAGCTAGAAATAGTTGTATAGACATGACAGGGCAGTGAAAGAAGGAAACTCTCCAGCAGTAGCAGCTTTCAAATGAGGCTTACAGTTAACGTTGATGACATGCTGAAATGTTTTGAGGAGTCAGATCCATGGTTCATGTATTTTTTTAAGGAGTAAACTTCACTGGTAAGGGTGCAAATTCATGTTAAATTACAGCAATTTCTTTGCTGCAAAATAAATATGTTTAGTTCTTATTTTGGTCTCATAACTGCAGGTGACTCACAGGGGACATCAGCCACTGCTTTGCAAGCCCAGATAAAAGTTGCTCTGTCTGCACTGGGGGTGCTCTGCTGTACCAGTGAGAATTCCAGCAGAGCAACCTCCACTCATCCCAGCTGTTCAGCATGGAAATCCTAATGCATTTTCCCAAAGACCTGTGACAAAATCTGTCTGTAATCCTGGGGGCACCAGGAGAATTCCAAGGAGCCTCTGAACCCCCCTGAGCGATGTCACTGAAGTGCTGTACCTTAAGCTAGCCTAGCCGGCCACAGTGAATAGTCCCTAGCTCAGAGCCGGGGCCAACCTGCACAAAAAGCAACCTTGAGAGAAGTCAAACACACACCACAGGATAATCAAATGCTCAGGTTTGGTCTTGGAGCCCAGGATATGTCACAGGTTTTGACATAAAGGCAGACCTCCCGGTCTGGATGCAGCATCAGCTAAACCCACTGTGAAGGGTAAGTTTCTTCAAAGCCATTTGGATCTGGATGCCATATTCTGACCAAGACTAAATAAAACAAGAGGCAGAGGTTCCTCTTCTCCTTGATACTACTGGAAATCTGGGTCTAGTTATTAATTTCAGCCTCTGCACAGAACACCAATAGGAATTGCTTAGTGCAATCTTAAAATGAACAATTCCACATTATTGGTATGACTGAAATCCTTTTGTAATTTAAAATACTCATTACAGTAGTTACAACTGAAGTTACTTTACGAAATGCACCCTCTTTTATAAAAGCTATATGGGGTACTGTATATATGCTTCAAAGCACTGAAATTCAGCCAGAAAACAACAGGGCGATGAGAAACATAACTGACTTTCCCCTGCTTTCATACTTACC